TGTTAGCTCCTTTTAGACTTTAGCTAATGTTAGCTCCTTTTAGCCTTTAGCTAATGTTAGCTCCTTTTAGACTTTAGCTAATGTTAGCTCCTTTTAGACTTTAGCTAATGTTAGCTCCTTTTAGCCTTTAGTTTGTTTTAGACCATTTAGCCTTTAGCTAATGTTAGCTCCTTTTAACTTGAACAACTCATTTTCAGCATCTTCAGAAAATATCAGCAGTCCTTCAGCTTTAGGCCCCAGTCTGTTTCACAGAAAACCCTGTGTCTCCAGATGTTTTCCTCTGGATGTTTTTATCCAGACATTTGACATCTTATTACTGAACAAGCTGAAGTTTTCAGTTTTCGGCACTCACGCCTGCTCTCGTAGATGGCCCTGGACTTCTCGTACAGGTCGTACGGGTCGGGCTTGTTCAGGTCGAAGCCCTCGGTGGAGTCGGGCACAGACGTGCGGTGTTGTGGCTGGTTTGGGAAAGGCGTGCCGGGCGGTAAGATGGGTCCTGATGGGTTCGTCTGAGGGCTGCCTTGTGGGTCCCACTGACCGAGCAACAAGAAAAACAAGAAATTAAAACCATCTGTCATGAAGTTACAGCTAAAATAATGCGACCTAAATGCTGAAGCATTCATCAAACTTTCATGTTTCRTCATGTTAAGCTAAATTTAGTTAAATGAGCAGCTGTGACGTGATTACACACTTTAGAAAATAAACCTTTCAGAGCCTGAGCAGGTGTGAACATGAGTTTAGATAAAGATTCACGTCTGAATCTAAAACATGAATGAGAGCTGATTGTTGGAGGTGCAGATTAAATCAACGCAGCTTTTCTCTGAGGAGAGAAACACGAGATCAAACTAATAAGGAGGTCAGCAGAGGTATTTATGTCGAACATCTGAGGTGAAAATCATACAACCTTAGAAAAACTTTGTTTTCTCTTTTCAATCAGCTTTTATCAACAGCTCCTCATCAAAAGGTTTTCTTTCCTTCAACTCTTTTTGAGCTGAATCATCTTTAGAGAAATGTCCTTACTTTGTCACTTAACTCTGACCAACGGATCATCTTGAAGTCAGGGATGACCCTGCGTTGAATCGACACAATGAAAAACTAAAAACAAACCGTTTTAAATAAGATTTATTTCTCCTGATATGAATAAATCACTTTCAGACACTGTTCAGCTGCTGTTGACCGAACGACAATCTGGCTTTTCTGAAACATGATTTTTTTTTTTTTTAGTTCTTCAATAACGTTTTTTTTCTCTCATGTTTGTGGTTTAATTTTTTAGATTAGTCTCAGGCTTCAGTTTGATTTGTGGGTTAAAATAGTTGTTTATATAAAAGGTATTTGTTTCTGTGCAGCTTGGGACTGGTCCTCGGTTYGGTGGTCGGAGATCCCGGTTGTAGAAACTTCTTTAGAACAAACTCTTCTTCTTTTGATYTCCACTTCTTCAACTTTAARTCTTACTTTAAAAAATACACKATTAGGGTCAGGGACAGAAAATAARTCAAAAAGCAGCAAAAACCCAAATAAAAACTTTACAATATGTCCAAAAAACCTGAAGAACCTTTCATCAAAAGCACATTTGGCACATTGTAAACACAACATAAAGGAATTTAAGTTGTTTACATCTGTTGTACAGATTTGATTCTTTGTACCTGTTTTGAAGCCTTCCATGGAGAGATGTGTCCTGTGGAGGAGAGAGGAAAAATACAGTAAACAAAACATAAACAGATCCGTGTTATCAGGAAGGAAACAGTAAATAAAAGCAAAAGCAGCTAAAAAGGCCATCTATGTACAAACCTAACAGGGAGATGAAATATCCAAACCTTCAACTTTAAAGTACATAAATTCTCAGGTGGCTGATTTCATTTCCCTCCATCTTGATACGTAACTCTGCCTAAACAGTAAAAGTTGTTGCGTTTGTTTTCAACGCCGTTGCATCATTAGCTGTAGGCGAAACCACATACTTCCAAACCATATCACACGCTTCTGATTTTTTTTTCTGAAAATCCCATTTTCTTTGTATGAAAGAATCTGGAAGCACTTTATCACAACAACAGATCCATCAGTGCTCCCCGGTGACTCCGTACGGTTAGTCGCTTCCCCACAAACAACCTTCACACGTGTGGACAGAAACACGTCAACACCAGGCCTCGCTCCTGCAGGAATCCTTTAGCAGACGTGGGCGTCTTGTTTGTTTCATGTTTGTTCGGTTTATGAGAGTTGTTGGGAAATGTCAGGGAGCACAGAGAGGAATGTATTTATGGTTCTGCTCTCTGACTACATCTGCCTGGGCTTCAGATGAAACCCATGGCAACAGAGCAGGACGGCATCGCTCCGGAAGATTTAAGGAAAATTAAACTCTTGAAAAGTCACCCGCCACCTTTCACAACACAGATTTAAACTAAGATCMTTTTACACTCATTGTAAATTATGATCTCTTTGATCTGTTTGCACTTAAACTATTTCTTGACAGCAACTCTCAGCTACTACCACACCAAATTTAACCCAACRTCTCTACAACTGACTTATCACCATTTTTGTGTTTGGTGAGGTCGATGGGCTGTGGCAGCCATCTTGAATTGGGTTGACTGCAAAATCAGTTTTAGATACATGCCTAACAATTAATTTCTGAAAGTTTGATTAAAATCCATGTAACGGCTCATGAGATATTTTGCTAACAGACACACAGGGGTGACGTCAATGGTTACTGCCAAGGACAAATGTTGCGCTACGTGTTAGCGCTTAACAAACGCACCAACTTTTAGCCAAATATCTGTAAAATTAAATGAGTTATGATTTTTTTCCCCTAAGGCAGCCATGACTACAAAAATTAATCAGGTCTGATTTTATTAAATCTAGTCCAGTGTTTCATGAGATATTTGGCTAAAAGACTAAGTTGACTCAGATAATGATGCAGTTTTCAGAACACATCTTGTTTGATCGATTAGTTCTCAAACCACAGGTTAAGGATCACTCTCAGCTACTACCACACCAGATTTTAKCTCTTTGTAAAACTGACTGAGCTGTAGCCATTYCTGGGTTTGCTTATGCTGCYAAGTGTTGTCGGCCATCTTGGATYGGACTGATTTAAAAATATTTAGCTGTGGACGTAGATCCAGTGATTATTTCCTGGAAGTTTCATTAAAATCTGACTGGGAATTCATGAGATATTTTGCTAACACGGCAGACAAAAGAACGCTCTCTCCCTTCAGCAGCAGCGGGTGATAGAGACACTTCTRTCCATGAAACGTCCTTGAGGAGCGCTGTCCCTGGTGCTGAAATGATTCAGAGGGAGGAGCTCGGTGGRAGGCCTTCAGGGAATTTTAACAACTGATTCTCAGAAAAATCTCTCCTTAATGATGCAAAGAATGAAACAAGTTTGAGCTACGAGAAGATTGTCCGTTCGTATTACAGATAAGAGTCTTCCTCGCAYGCCGGCTTCATTAAAATGCAAATACGATTCAGCAGCGTATGTGCCGGACGTGTGGGGCGTTTGCGTGCGTGACGACGAATCACAAACCAACGACTTTTACGAGAGTCTTCGTGAGGCCTCTCTCTCTCTCTCTCTCTGGAGCGTGAGAGTCAGCGGTCAAGCCGTCTGGCGGGCCGGGCCTCGCAGACTAGCCTGCCGAGTTCTGGACGGGCTTCAGATCCGTCTGATTGGCTCGCCTCGGCCTCCCGCCTGCGTCCTCGTTGGTGCTGCRAAGTGTTTCAGGTCTGCGGTCGGCGTTGGATGGAGCTGTGAACACGACCGGAGCTCAGCAGAACTCTGGCAGAGCGCCCACGCTACAGCGAGGCAGTCAAACGTAAACACAAACACACAAACACACACACACACAAACACACACACACACACACACACACACAGTAGAAGTCTAACACTGTCTGTGATGCTCTCAGTCACACATCTGAAATCACCCAGATTTATTATTAATCTGCACATAAACTAAACAAACACTCCTGACATACTGAACACTTGAATCATTGAAACAGATTCTTCCAGTCACGCTGCAGACAGGACACACGTTTGTATTTCTATCCTTATTAGGACCGTTCATTCGATTTCCATTCATTTCCAGATGTTTCTATAGCCTAACCCTGACTCCTTACCMCAAACCTAACCCCCAACCCAAAACTGAAGTTCCACCATATTAGGACCAGTCTTTGGTCCCCATAAGGACTACCAGTGTTGACCAGTGTTGTATAAAATACCTCAAAGTGATACTTGAGTAAAAGTACAAATATCTTACCATAAGAGTATCACTTAAGTAAAATTCTTTAACTTTCTGACATAAACTGTACTTTAGTATTAAAAGAAGAAATATAAAGTAAAAGTTAGAGGTTAGAATATCCAAAAATAAATTTATTGGGAGATGACCTCCACAAAATACATTTTTTTAAAGTCCATAATGACTATAAGGTAAAGCTATTAAACTAAATTGCTCTTGGGGCCACAATTACTGCAGGTCAACAGCTCAAGGGCCGAACATCCAGCAATTAAAGTTATTATGTAAATAAACCAAGTATTACAAATATCTGTTGCCTTTGATTTATTTATTTTGCTGCATTTAATCATGAATACAACAGATCGAACCCTATGTAATAAAAGTATTGATAATAAAACAAAAAATAGCACATTATGCCTCTTATTTACCACAAATACTTTGACGTCTCTTACTTGCCAAACTTTTAAACCAATTTTATTTTCCCTTTCATAGTTTTATCTTCAACTGCTTGTAATTTTAACTCTTGAATGTTCATAGGTATGTTTTTACTGGCTTGTAGCCATGATGCTGATGTTTCTGTAGATACCAAACATGTCTATATTTAACTAAAACAACTTAGAGCAATTAAAGTAGAAAACTTAAGAGATGAATGAACCAATTGGCGGGCCGAACATTTGTCACTCTGGAGGCCTGCGGGCCACATCCATCTGTCACRGTCGTCTTCATATTCTGCTACATACGTCTGACATGTTATTTGTGTCATGTGCAGGTGTGATGGATTGATTATAAACAAATAGGAAGTCAGAATGGTATATATTTAAACTTTTCATCCAAACACAATTAAACTAACTATCCAGGAGGTTCAACTTATCTTGTTTTTTTCCCTCCAAACAAGCTAGAATGAAAACAAACCAAAATGACAGGATTAATGACTTCCTACTTTTGAGTCAAAAGTAGAAAGTCATTAATCAAAAGCTTATACAGTTGAAAAATAAAGAGTAGAAGGTACAGATAATTGTGTAGTAGAAAGTAGAAGCATAAAGTTGGCTGAAAAATAATTACTGAAGTATAGATAACCAAAATCTCTAGTAAAGTATTTGTACTTTACAACTTTGATATTGACAAGGGAGGTCTGTATACTAGACATGACCCTAAAAAGGTAAAATCTCAGACAGACAGACAGACAGACAGAGACAGAGACAGAGACAGAGAGAGACAGAGACAGAGACAGAGACAGAGACAGAGAGAGAGAGAGAGAGAGAGAGAGAGAGAGAGAGAGAGAGAGAAAGAGACAATAAAAGTGATTTTGTGTGAAGCTGATATCCTGTGGGGCTGTTGTTATGAGCTGCCTGACTGAAACTGCCAAAGTTAAAAGGAGGAGACAGCATTTTGTGGGAAAGAGAGTTTATCAGATTTACTTTGGCACTTCAGAGGTTATCCACTGAAAGCTGTGTGGGTTTATGTGCAAACACGTACAAACAAAAAGCCCAGTGAAACGTGAGCGTGCATCTTCAGGCYGGCCACCAGGGGGCAGAGTGTGGCGCTGCGCGGTCTAAAGATGCTCAAGAGGCCGGGTTCAAGATCTCAGCTGCTCACGACATGTTCGTCTCCAGCTGCAGCTGCACACGCTGCTGCCTTCGTTAATCATCTGAGCTCATCGCCGTCTCTGCAACATTAATCGGCTCTAATGTAATCAAGTTACTGAGTGTAACCGAACGTCGAACGCACATCCAGTTCGCTCAGCYGCGCGCGAGATTGGTACAGATCTGCAGACAAGGAGCTGAGAACCGCCATAAAATCAGCAAACCGGCCCTTAACATCTAGCATCAGGTAGTGGTGTAGCAGGATCACTGAGCGCTGATGTCTTTGATGGCCTCTCCTAATTCTCGTCACACATAAATTAATTAAACCTGAGATGCGTATGAGGCTGATTACTTTCATCCCTAATTAAATACAATYCATGGAAAAGAGTGATGCAAACGAGAGCCCGTCCATAATTCCTCTTTATTGTTCTGATATCATCTCAGAAACAAAGCAAATTAACTTTTCACTCCTGGCCCTGAACTCTAAAGAAACCACAACCTTCTGGTCAACGGCAGCAAGCAGAAAGAATCAGTTTGTGACCTTTGCCTTTTTTTTCTTTAAGGTCAGTTAGCTTTCATCCAGGAGGCTGAGCAGTGCTGTGAGTTTAATCATTGCATGGTTAAGTCTGAGTGTTTGTCAGGCGACCCGGGGCTCAGCGCTGTAAGCCGCCTGCAGGAAAGAAGAATTATCAAGTCAAATTCTGACCTCTGACCAGAACACCTCTTAGAGAATCACCGCAAGTGCACGTGTCAAACAAATGAAGATAACACCGTGCAACTGAATTCTCCTTGCAGGTGGCCAATTGTGCAGGAAATAGAAACAAGGAAAATGGTCACATTTGATTCTGTTCCAGTGAGCTCAAACTTCCTCGCAGTGAAACTCATTTTTTGCTGTTACATTATTTTTCCACAGAATGATGAGCTCCTACTTTCACTCGAGGGAACAGGAAAAATGGTGCAGAATATCTTAAAGGTGACTTTGTCCAAACAGTAAAGAGCTGATTGCTTCATATTCTGGACTCKTTACGACCACCTCTGACCCGCAGGCTTACGTCACTGAGGATTTGTGTGCAGAAACAATAAAAAAAAATCAGTTTGAGATCAACTTTCTGAAACACATTAACACAAAAAACTGCTTTTGTTTTAAAGATGAAACAAGGCAGTGGGACAGAAACTGAGGTTAACTAATCCCAACGCATCACTTTTAGTTTCTCATTGGAGCTCATCTCTCAAAAACACAATTATTAAAAAAAATACATATATGTATTTTACTAATAAATATGTGGCGTTAGTTCGTAGTTAATGCTACATTGCCATTAGCACGGCGCTAACACTGCATCGCCTTATTAGGGCTGCGCGGTATATGCGATATATGGTAGAAAGGATATGAAGTTGGCCTACGGYAGATTTTGACCCTCTACCGTCCTGTTGTCAGTTACGTCATCGCACCTGTGTCAACAGGGCTGAGCAGGAGGAGTTTAAAATATTCTAAAAATAAAAGAAATATAGTGTTTTAAAACATGTATAGAGAGAGAATAAATCCTCAAAATTTCCTCCTCCCACTGTAGAAAAGTTACGTCGTGTCGCAGAAYCGTTTCCTCCCTCCCTCCTGCTGCACGTCGCGCAGAGTGAAGCTTTAATATCTGTAGTTTTATCACAACAGAGTTGTTTGAGAAAAAACTTGTTTTTATGTATTGTTACCCACAGAGATGATATAAAAAAGATGTGGATGTTTGTTCAGTCATAAATCCATCTTGCTAATGTAAAGACAGCTTCTGCTTTGAGAGCAGCAGCCGATAAGTTCAGCAGGCAGAAGCTCATTGTATGGCAGGCAGATGTTACATTTATTTGCCTTCACCACTCTGACATTCCAGTTATCTGAAATTGTTTTATGACAGGACTATGTGTTTAATTAAGCCCCTTAAGGTCCTGTCACACTATAACATTTTAGGCAACTTCTGCCAACTTAGAATTTATTTTATGTCTAAATGACTAATTTCACTTGAAGGACTGGTTATAACATCCACTTTGTTTTGATATTGTTGAAACTTTGAAAAATGTTTTTTGTTTGTTGATGAAACTGTTTTGCAATATATATAAAACATTCTTTTGTATTTATGTTCATTTGCACTACAGCAAAAATGCTGGGTTTGATTGTGATTACAGTTTTCTGCCAAATAAATGCTCTAAAAATTACATTGTCTTTGATTTTTATTATAATTTTATACCACAATATATACCG